TATTAGTGCTGTCAAACTATTAATAATTTTAATCGCATATTATCAACAGTTAACTTGAGATTAATCGCAAATTAATTGCATATTTTATCTTTTTATTTTATTTATTTTATTTTGGCATTTAAAAAATGCAATTGTGCAATAGCGTTAAAAACATGCTTATACAATTTTTTCTTTTTTATTATCATTTTTGAAGCACTTTTAAGAAACTAGAATAAAAATATCCTGGTTTAAATTCTGGCCAATAATTATTCAAAAATTGTAAAAAAAAATTAGGCGATATGCTTCCATCAAAACTACAGTAACAGTAAACAGTACTTCAAAGTACTCCGTCAACTTAAGTTTTTTCTCAAACATAGGACAAAAATAAAGATGTACTGTTAAAATAAAGTGCACATTCCGTTATGAAATACAGATTTAATTCAAATAAAATGAAGTTACTCACAAAATAAATCAAACGAAATTACAATAACTGGGCTTTGCGGTCATCTCAACAACATAACTTTTTACATGTAGAACATTTTCAAAATGCTTTAATATTCCTTTGGTCTGAACAGGAATTGCAGCAGCAGTGCAGTCCACATGATTTAGTTCATTTCTTTGTCTTGTTGGCACTAAGCCAGTGAGACGCTCGTTTCTTCTGGACAACATAGATAGACGACTCAGGTTTTGTCAAGAGATGCCTGGGATGAAACAAATCTAAAAAAGTATTAAAAAATGAAACACAATGCAGCCATTTTTATCATCCTTAATTAATGTTATTGTTTAAACAATAAATAAAAATTGTTATCATGACCAGAAATGTATCACAATACCGACAAACGATAGGATAAATGCCCAGGCACTATATAAGTACAGACCATTTACAATTTTACCATTATTATGGATAAATTGAAAGTTATTACAGACTGAAACACAAGGAAGGCCGCAGTAGTAGCCCATGTAATGGACAACAAAGCAAAAATGACTAATCCAGTACATGGACTACTACTGGTTTTCCTTTGGTTAATTCTTATCTAAAACAGATCAAATCCAGTTTTTTGCTAAAAGGAGTGAGTTGCGATAAAATTTTGAAATGCAATTTTATCAGTTACAGTAGCAGCCATTCAAAATGGCCCTTCCCAGTCCAATGCCAGCCGAATGGCAGCCATCCAACTCTTTCACTGAATTACAGAGTCTGACCAGGAGAAGGAGCTACTCTTTAGATCTTATGTCCACAAATCATTACAGAAAAAATATTTTAGTACAAATATTGATGTTTAAAAAGGAATTGAGGGCGGACCAGCCAAGGGCCCCTCAACGAAAGTTGTGAAATATTAAATGGCTACTACTGTAGGGGTGTGAATTAGTGAGCTGATTTCTCTAGCCTGATTTCTTGTTTCTTCTCATCCTAGTACCCTTTTGGTGAGAACTTGGCCGTCTCCCTGCTTCAGCCCCTGGAAGCAGCATTGCAGACAACTACACATACCTACTGCGGCCGATCAAGCCACCTGTTTACCAAAAGGTTAAAAGAAAGCATCAAGTCTGTTTAACCAGATGAGATTGCTGGCATCACAAGCCAACATCATCTCCAGTGCCTGATGCCGGATGCTTGTTGACTTAGTTCCTCCTGTGGAGATGACCGACTGGATGAGGGACTTAACACCTAACAGGAATTTGTTTACATTGTGTATGCTGAGAATGCATGTTGAGATTATGTGAGTGGAGAAAATAATGAGCAGAATGTGTTTTATTTTTTACACAAAGCTAGTTTTGGTACATATCAGTGTAGTGAACACACAATAAGAAGACAGATACTGGAAAATACACTGTCTTTACTTTGCCCTGCAGAGATTATGGATTTAATGCTAATTAGGAAAGCAATCTGTATTTTTATTGACAATCAGGATTTTCTGTTTTGTTTTTGAATTCATATTCATTAAGAGAAAGATTGATTTGTTAACTTTTATGAGAAGAACAATGTTGGTATACCGAGAGTATTTTATTAGATTTTTAATATAATTCTGCACAGACTTTTTCCTTCTTAGGTACTGGTTAAAGATTTAAGAAAGTTCTCTTAATTAAACATTCCTTATTAATTAAATCAGTATTTATAAGGCATCCATGATGTCAAGCTAAAGTATTTGTGGGTATTATTTTAAACACTCCTTTATTTTTCATTTATTACATATTTTACTGGATGTGTTTTGTTTTTTTGTTGTTTTTTTTTTTACTACATAATTAAAAAACGAATCCCTACATGTTGAAATGGCAAAGGGACTTTTGTCTGTAATCAAACATGAGAAATTTAAAGATGAATGTGATCATGCTGTTTGCTAAAATACTGGAAAGATATTGAATGTATGGAAAATAATATAGAATAAATCCAAAATATTTTTTTGTTTCTGTGTTCAGTTTTCATTTCACTTTGAAATTCATATCTTTCATGTTATGTCTGTAGAAACTGCAGGGAGCAACATTGTCCAGAAGCTCTTCTGGTTTTATATTTACTGCTTTAAAATCAAATTCATGTTGCGTATAGCTCATGGTCCAAAACAACAGCAATTTATGTAGCTGTAAAACCTTATTTGGACAAAGACTTTACACTCAACAGTGATTTTATTAGGTACATCTGTTCTATTGCCTATTAGCACACTTAACAACGCTAGCCAATGGGGCAGCAGCAACTCCAAGCTTTCAGATCTGAAGAGCAGTTGCTGGAAGTCGAAAAAAACAGCAACAGAATGGGCACAAGAAGGGATTTTAATCACTTTAAAACAGGCTTGATTGTTGGTGCCAGATAGACTGGGCTGCTCACTCCCATCCTCTCACTTTTAAAGGGAATGGTCCGAACATATCCTGCAAACAGCTGGTATTTAGATAGAAACATTTCCTTTTTAAAACCGAGGAAAATTGCCAGACTGGTTTAACAGCTTGTCTGGTCTGATTCCAAAAAGTAAAAAAACAAAAAAACAAATCATGGACTTTGTTTTCCAAGTTTGAAGACGTTTAGCTTCCCATCCAGGAAGCTTTCTCTATTCAAAATCTCTGGATTAGCGTTGAGTTCAGTTGAGTCTAGTGAGATGATTCTTAATTTCAACTGAAACATTCATGTGTTGGGATAGCTTGGGAGAAAATGGTCTTCTATCTTTTCTTTGTTTTCACTTAGACAAAACTTTATAGTCATCTTGTACACACAGAGTGTATACAAAAAAAAATTTCGTTCAGTACAGCTCTCAAGACAGCAGTAATAAAATGTAAAAATGGTGATCAAATGTAAACATAAGACTGGTATATGATTTACAGCAGGGGTGCCCAACCTTTTTTAAACCAAGATCTACTTTGGAAGTTGATGGCATGCCGAGATCTACCTAGTCAAACACAAGGGATGGCAGTATTTGTTTTTTTATTTGCACAGGTGGAGAATAAACAGTAAGTCCAACAAACGGGGAAATGATCAATCGTGTCAAAAAATAGGTTGCAAAAACAGAACTTAACAATCTGATAAGAACTTCACACCATATCTCTCTCTCTTACTTACTCACTCACTCACTCACTCATCAGACTCACCAAAACTACAGAAAAGAGCAGTCAAGATCTCCAGACAAAAGCTGTGCAGTCAAAAAATCTAAATAAACCAATTGATAAAAACACACACAGTCTAGTAGAGATGAAAAAAAAAAAAAACAGAACTGTAAATTTACAGTCATATGTTTATATCACTGTTCCAAACTAGATTTCTTTTTTGTTTTACACTTGTGTAAAGAAAATGACAAATAAAATCTGTCTAAGTCTAAGATGACTTCAAAGCAGGAAGAAGGAGAAGGGAAGTCCACTATTTCAGAATGATAAACTTCACTGGGCATTGGCAGAGAAACTGGCAGATGGATTAAAATTCAACAGGAAAACAAATAAAAATAGGAAAATACTAAGTACAAACTATGTGGATGTGAAGATGTAACATACAGCAGAATGGGTTGTTGACTGTTTCAGAAACTCTTTCATTTCGGGCAAAAGTTCCAAAAATCTTACAAAGAATCTGCCGCGGCTCAGCCACCTGACATCGGTGTGCAGCACCAGATCAATGTTGTCTGCACCTGCCTCCTAGAGCTGTGCACGGAATAAACGTCTCTGAGAAACTCCTGGCCCGAACAGAGCAAGCAATCTTCATTGCAACGTCCATGACATGCTTCATATTTAAAATTCTGCCACACAGCTGTTGTTGAATGACGCAGTGGTTGATCAAAAAAATCTGGGAAAGTTTCAGACAGCTTGAACAGAGCAATGAATCCAGCCATAGTTGTGATACAGTAGATGTCATTATCGCATTATCTCTTCAGATTCCTCTTCGCGCTTTAGAGTCCCTGATAACAACATAGCAACCGTGGCAAACCATGCCCAGCATAAAAAAAGGTTCCCTGCATACTTTTTATTTTTCATTTTATTATTATGAAAATACACTTTGGCCTCTCATGATCAATGATTTGATTAGTGTTTTTTTTGTCATAGCCATAAATAAGTCTACATTGTAAAACACATACATTGTTTCTCCATTTTACTCAAGATACCGGCCACCTCCATTAATTTATGATCACATTCTTCCCATCTTGAGTTCCCTATTTCTGGCAGGAACATAAATTGTGTCAAAAAGCACAAATCATCCCATTCTGGGTTATTAACCATGAGCTTACCGCTGTAAAATCCAGTGTTTCACCTCTTTGGAACTGGTGGACCAGTAAGTTCCTATCATGCATGTGAAGCCACTAAATCTGCAGCAACTTATTGATATATTATAGCAATACCTTTTAAAATCTTTGAGTGTCTTTATATTGTCAAATGGGAATCCAGGAGGTTCTGAACAGAAAGGGGTTTTTGACCCGATACTAGCAAAGTGTACCTAATAAAGCAGCTGAGGAGCAGAAAAAAGTCACTAAGAACTTCTAAAATTGCTTAAAAGTTCTTGCCTTAGATTTAAATGTTAAAACTTTTGCAGAGGATTTATGAGTGAAATGATAATAATGATGCACAGTTGGAAATCTTAAAGCGTGTTTGCGTCTTAATCTGTATAATTTTGTCTTTTTCATCAAAAACATTTTGCCTACTTGTTGCCCATTAAATCCACACTGAGACTGAGCACAGACTCAATCTTAGGAGGGTGCAGTGAGCTGAAAATGAGAAAATCAATGTGAGAGGAGTTGAGAAAGTGTTGTTAGATGGCCAAAAAGAGCTGATGTGTCTGGGTCGGTAGCCTCTGGCTCTTAATTTCGCAGGCACTTCGACAGACGTGCCGCGAATAGGCAGAGGCTCTGTGTGATGAATTTAAAATGAACTCTATGCTAAGAAGCAGCTTGATGTATCCATTTTCTTGTCAAGGGTTGCTCTGTTGTGCACTAAGTGTGGAAAAGGTTTCAAAAGTTTTAGGAAAGAATAATCACTCCCCACGAAATTACCTCTTAATCTATAAACCAATGCAAATGTGTGTAAAATAAAACTATAGGATTGCCAGGAACTAAATTAATTTGATGGATGTATTGTTAGGTTGTTGTGAATGCCTCTAAGATAATTTTCTCCTTGAAATCTTCTTGGTGGAAAGTTTTAAGAGCTAAATAGATTAATGCAGGCTTTAAAAAAATCTTCAAAATTACCTTTTAGCTTTAATTCCAAACATTATTTGTAGGAAGCTGTAACATCATTACTAACTTTGTTTTTGCATATAACATCATCATGAGATAAAGCTTCAAGAGAGACCAATTTATCCCACATAATGAGCACATACATCTGCAGAGGAGTGCCCGGTGATGGTGAACATCTTTAAGCAATGCGCTTTTAAAGATAAATGATAAATTAGAAGATATTTTTTTACTTGGAAATGTGTTTCAGCGGACAGGATAATGCTGCTTTTACTCCGTCTGAGTATAATTGTGATGGAGATCTTATCTGCCCACGGATTATTCACTTTACTGCCTCTCTCCTTAGTCCCTGTGTGGTATTTATCGGCGGTAGACACCTAAAATAATTTAAGATAGCCAGAGCCAAAATTAAACAGTGCAGAGGAAAATATTTTAAGGGTTATGCGCTGTTCAGGATTTAAATCCATCATTATAACAAAAGAAGTTAGGTTTTACATAAAAAAAATACTCCAATTGCAGCAATCATCTGTCTGAATGTCCTTATTCAGTTTTTACAAATTTTTCCTGATTTTTGGGGGATTATGTGTAACAAACCCTAATAATTAAACTTTATTGATCTCACATTGGAGAAATTAACATCTGCATTTAACCCATCCTCTTGCAGAGCAGTGGGCTGCCATCGTAGATTGCCCAGGGAGCAGTGTGGCGTTAAGGATCTTTCTCAGAGACCCAGAGTGACAATCTGTGGAAGTGGGGCTCGAACTCAGGACCTCAGAATTCCAAGCTCTATGCCCTAACCACTAGGCCGCCACTCCCTGCATAAATGACCCCATAATTTTTAACATTTTACATAAATTAAAATCTTCGAATAGGCAATTTAACCGCCTGAATATGATTTGTTGTGATCCATTCTCTGTCTCTATGTCTTAGGTTTGTTGTGTTTCTTGGAAGCTCCTTTCAGAGTCAGCATCCACATTGCATGATGATGTCACCCCCATGTTTCACAGAGAGCACGGACAAGATAGGGGGTCTTTATTTACAAGGTTGCAGTTTTCCCTACACGGCTACTGACACCTAATGGCTTTCATCTTTTCAGTCTTTCATGAAGGGTATATTTGTGAACAGCTAATGTTTGTCCCGTTAAGAAATTTTCCCACCTCAGCTGATTTGAGTTTTCATTCCCATCTAGGTTCCATTCTGAATAATCCTCTCCTTCCTCAAACTACCTGACTCATAGATACTTTAAATCAAGAAAAATTAAGATTAAAAAGTATGGTAGCAGGAGCTGATAATGCACAGCTGAAAAAGGGGACAAATTGTTTTTTGGAAGCAACTTACGTTCAACAGCCTGACATTCCATGCTGAGGATCAGGAATGTTGAGGGGGGCTTTGGGTGTGTGGCCTCTACCTAACACTGAAATTACTGAGAGCCATTTTCCATGTCTTTCTAATTAAGCAAGACTGTGTTATTAGATTTTTTTTTTAGATATCCTTCAAATTATGTAGGTCAATATAACAGTAAGGCTGATGTATCATGTTGGATAGATGCATCAATGTAAGACGGAGCAGACAGGCTACTCTGCACTTTTGTCAGAAATAAAATAAAAAATAAAAATTGGAAAGCGCTGGTGCTTTAGTTCACTATCTCTGTACAGTGTTAATACCTGTGCTTATTTCCAATTCCCGTTCTTGTTTTCATAGGAAACCACAACCTACTACTAAGCTGCTCTGTGTTTTCCTCTCCAGTTTCC